TAACTGTAACATTACGTTAAATTTATTGTTAAAGAGGTAATAATCGACAAACAGAAAATATTGGATTAACTGATTGTTGCTTACTAAACATTTTGTGACAATTATTTCATGCATATTTAGGACAAAATATTAATTGATTGTTGGATGCGTAATGTCCAATGGCAAATATTTCATGCATGTTTAGAAGGACAACATATTAACAATAAATTCAATAGGTAGAACACGTTTTGGCGTTTTTAAAATACGGACATCATTGGTCGTTCACAAAAAGGAGACGATTAGGGTTCATTTGGACCCGTATTGGGGATTGGAGGTTGATAAAATGGACACGATTGGCCGTTCATAAAAAGGACACGTCTTTGCGCCTTTTAGCAGCTAGATAAGTTTTCGTAGTTCAGTGACGTTTGGGGAAGTGGACACGTTTGGGGGGATGGACACGTTTCTGAGTGTTAAAATTGAGAATGGAAATGGGGAATGTGTCGAAGAGACAACTACCCGAACAAAAAGTCATATATAGACATGTGTAAACTAATTTATCTTCCCTCCTATACATTTTTAGGAATAGCATTGGTTAATAGCGACCGCATGGAGACCCTGTATATTTAATATGGGGTTAATAGGCGTGGTTTATTTTAATACACGGTTAGTAGTGGTGTTACGTCCTTTTATAAAAACAACACGGCGTTGAGGAAAAATGTAAAACGTTTCACCAGAACAATAGATGAAGAAATTGATGATAAACGATTGAAATAAACGAAGAAAACACATTAAAAGCTAACAAGTTGTTATTGTTGGCATTTGTTTTTGTACAGGCCAATGGAAGTGGGTTCTTTATATTGAAGACTTGATCACTTTGATAGGCCACTAGTCTAAATGCCACATGTGAAGATAGCCGGTAAGATAAATTCGTTACACAGTGTGCTAGTGACCTACTACGATATATATTTGGTCAGTAACTTCCATATATATCGTATTAGGTCACTAGCACACTATATTACTAATAGTATATTTGATTTATCAATCGACGTATATCCCAAATGTCTTTTATCCATGTTTTGATTAATGTTTAATTGTCTGTGTGTAAATAATTTTTACCGAAAGATGCATCCTTGTTTTATTTTTAATTTGGAATCCAAAATGAAATCGGAAATAGGTGTCTTACCTTACAATGTTAATACATGTCAATTCGCTTGTATCTTTGTTGTGTTACTGATTGGTAACCGAAAATTCAATTTATTTTTTTGATAATAAAACATAATGTGTAATACATCAAAAACAAGGAAATATTTTAATGTAAACAGTCATTTTAACTCCTTTCAACTAACTTATCAGGTGAACTAAATTTCTAGTTAACATTTTCTAAAATATGATTTTATACTATAAGAATATTAAGTTTCCACTTCCCTTTTGACCTTACTTAGATTTGGCTATTTTGTTTTGTTTCCTTTTGGTCATATGCGATTTATAACAGACCATTCTTAAATTTCCAGTTTACCAATTTAGAAATAATTAGGAAACTAAGGTTCCAACTTTCTCAGGCAAAGTTGACCGTATGTTGATTTGGCCATACTTTTAACGTCCATTTTAGCTACTCAAGTATGCAGGTATCTATACATTCTCGGCTTTCAAAATTCTAGTTCAAGATAGCTTGTTCCAATGTCAAATGCCATGATCTAAATATTGATAGTCTTGAAGATCAGAAAATTATTTTTTATGGAGCATACCGATAGTCCAGGTAGTCCCGGGTATTTATGAGTCAACATTGGTAATGAAAACAATCGGAATCGCATGAACTCCAAATGGAGTAAACCCGTAAGTTTCATTGACAGAAAAGATTATAATTATAGAGTATGGAAATGAATATTCAACACAATAATTGTAGCCCCCAAGATGAAAAACTTGTTTCGTATATCATATACTTAGGCAGTATACCGATGTTCAGTTAACTCCTCACAAGTCCAGTTATAAACTGAGACTACTATTACACATATGAAATAGTAGTCGGGTGTTTTTAAGACAAAATTAGTAATGAAAAAAATGGGAATCGCATAAACTCCAAATGGAGTGAGACATTGAAAGAACAGGTGATAATTACTACAGAGTATGGTTATAAAAGAGGGGCGAAAGAAACCAAAGGGACATTCACACTCATAAGTCGAAAATAAACTCAGGAAGCCATGGCATAAAAAAGACCAAAAAACAAACAACAGTATACAAAACACAACAAAGAAAACTAAAGACTGAGCAATTCGAACCCCACTAAAAACGAGGTGATCTCATGTGCTTCGGAAAGGCACGCATATTCTGCTCCAAATGTGGCATCCTTACTTTTGCTCATGTAGTTACAAATCCGACGATAAGTCTTAATCGGTAAGTCACAATCGAGGAAAAGAGGACGGGATGGGTGTTACGACAATTGGAACATAGAAACGGTCAACCAACTCGTGATGGCGTCCGTAAAATTTGCGGAGGGAAGATTTAGTTAACATTTTCTTAAATACAAATTCATGTTATAAGAATAATAGGTTTCCAACTCAACGGGGAATTTGAACATTCCATTCTTAAATATTTCGTTTGTCAATTTAGAAATTATTGGGAAACTCCCTTAGGCAAACTTAACCTTGAATGGATTTGACCATACTTTTTATGTCTCTTTTAGCTCCTAAAGTATCAGGTATTTATACATCCTCGACTTTCAAATTTTAGTCCTGATAGTTTCAATTTCCAATGCCATGACCTAAATGCCTATAAAGGAGACAAAAAATATCTATTCACTTCCTGATGATTCTTGTTGATTAAAATCGATCACCTGGCTTGAAATTTGGGATATCTAAAACACTATATCAGGGATAAGGCGACGACGTTGATACATTGTATCTTAACAGCATCTAGGAAGTCCCCAACAACAGTCTATGGGTGTTGGAATGTCCTTGTATATATGCATCCCGACTTTAAATAAAGATTACTTTACTTTATTTTACTGACGGGGTAGTGTGTCAACAGATATTTTGATAAACTAGGACTTGCAATGTATTATGGACAACTACATCTCATAAACCAGAATATACCTCTCATGCTGGGGAAACAGGTATTGGTCATATATAAAATATCAGCAACTTAGTATATACATTGTATCTTAACAGCATCTAGGAAGTCCCCAACAACAGTCTATGGGTGTTGGAATGTCCTTGTTTAAAATAGTCCACCTTTTTTTTCCAATAGCTGTTTATAGTTTTGCATGTTGGAAGCCCACCTGGAAAAGATTTAATTCCGTCTGGATGGTCCATGCAATCTGTTATATTAAGATTTTACCAGGAAATTGTTTTATGTTTGCTCTCAGAGGAGGTATGAAGATATTGATGAATGATGGATACTCAACGGAGTAAGGAAAATTAAGTGGTTTTGTACGTTTAACTAACTCACACATGTCATGTATCCATGTTTGTAGAAATGTTTGGCCAATCTGAAAAACTTTTTTTAAAAGTATGACAAGGCTTGGACCTTTAACAGTCTAATTAAAATTGCTGGCAAAGCCTTAGAAATAACTTCAATGAAATAACAGTCTGCTTTTCAAAAATCTAGAATATACCCTACAGTTCAAATAAGTTATTTTACTATGCCAGGATCACATTATTTATTGAAAATTGGGACAAAAAATATAACATGAAAAATATTCACACTACTGCTAATCACATGGACTTCTAGTGAGGATTCAAAAGACCAACAAAATTGTTTGTTGATTATCTCAATTCACCTGTTTATCATTATCTTGTTTGCTAATTCTCTCTTTCCATACTTGTTTTCTGAATAATATCCAAAAACCTAAAATATTCATTAAAAACATCATTAATGAGCAATAACTCGTCTATGATTTATTGATGTAATTTTCCTTGATGAACATTTTGCTGTTTACAACTTCAGACTATCAATTATAATTTTGAAGAAAATAGTTAGTAATGGAAGGATTGTAGATCTTGACATTTTAAGCATGTTTTACTCTTACGAATTTACTTTAGTTTTCAAGATATTAGACAATAAGCAACATTTTACTCGTATGTTCTATTTCTAGCCATGGCAGCCATGTTGGTTATTTGTTTGGTTACAGCATAGTTTGGGAATTTGGTTCAGTGCTTTCAAAGGATGAACTACAAAGTACAGTAACAGCCAAAAAAAAATTTTTAAGTGCAATAGGTTTATCATTTAAAAATAAAAATTTATTTTGTAAATATTTTAAATAGAATCGGAAGATACCAAAAGGAGAATCATAACTTATAAGTTAAAGAGAGAACGACAAGGTCATGCAAAATATGAAAAATAATGAAAAGACAAATAATAGTCTTCAAAACAATACATAATAAAATTAAAGACTAAGAGACACAAACCCCCCCCCCCCCCCAAAAAAAAAGGGGTGATCTCAGGTGCTCTGGAAGTGTAAGCAGAAAAGTGTACTGAGGTATTGGTCATTAGGTGGATGGTAATCTCATAGACTGCTGGTGCTTCAGAATGAAAATCAGATCTTGCCTCACATGTTGCATTGTTGTCTTGCTCATTGTAAGTACAAATTCTGTGTTGTCACAATCTATGAAAAGAAGACTGAAGAAAATCTTCATTAATTGGAACATATCCATGGTCACCTATGACACAGATAATCCATAAGGGTCAACCAACTCATGATGGCATCCATTTAAGCTTTTGAAGGGATGACTTCAACTTTACCACCAAAACCATTTGTTAAATAGCTTCTTTATGGACAGCAACCCTCTTTCAAGGAAATCATATAAATTAGCATGAATATGTTCCATATGCAGGCACTGCTGGGATGTTGCTACATAGAAATGGAATGTTAAAAATTAAAGATGAAATCATCTCTTTTGTCGTACAGTTTTTTCTTAGCAATTAACTTAAAAAGGTGCAAAGACTGAAATAAAGAAAATTTGTGAGACTGGGAAATCTGAAAACAAAATATTTTTGCATAGAACATAGAAACAATTTAAAAAACATTTTGAGTGTATATATTTTATTGCACATTACATAAACAGGACTTTAATAATATATCACCTCATAATAAATACATAATATATAATCATTTTTCATCTTGTATTTTCAATTTGCACTAACCAGTATTTTCAATTATAACAAACAAGTCTTGAAAACAAAGATACTGTTCATATATAGTGAATAGCCATAAACAAGTCAAATTACTAAAAAGCACACATTTTTAAGTGGTACATTGTTTAATATGATCACTCAATTTTTTTTTCTAATATGCCTTTTCACTTTAGAATTGGTTTGAATAGACAGATGTTTTCAACTATTCTTCATTTCTTATAAAAAAAAAACAATATGCTTGCTTAATCTGAAAGTGATTCAAAATTATACAATGCTTTATTATGAATAAACAGTGAATATAGCCAATCTTAGCTCTTCTTTCCATTTTAGTCTTATAAAACACTATAATCAGAATAAAAATGTTTGATGTGACCCTTTAGTGAGATAAGAATGTGTCTATTTCTTCTGACAGGCCTTATAAGCAGATACCAAAGCCAAGATGATCCACAATCAATATGAGTAGAAATTGACATCCCAAAGAGGGACAGTTGCTGCACTATCTATAATAAGGACAACAAACAATAACCAGAGATTCTTATCCTACATCTTCATTCTGTCTGAACCCTTTATAGCATGTGTTACAACAATATATAACATAATGGTTCCTGGTTAAAGTAAGCATTAAAATAAAACTGCCATTCACCAAAATGTACAAAACTCAAATAAAGCACTCTTTCTTTCAATAAATAAAGTTCAAGCACTACAGTTTTCTTCATTTTTCCATTCTTTTTCAAACAATTCCAGCAATGTTACCTGTAAATATAATAATGATCATAATAATAATACATTTTTTTAATATAACTATAATAAAAAATGTTAAAAATTGCAACAAACAACTGAAAAAACTTTATCATTTTATTTTCATACCAAACAAATTTTTTTAGAAGAAGAGCAAAAAAAAAGACTAGATTCACCTTTTAACCATGTACAGGAATGTTTGAAAGGGTTCACCTGTCTGTTTGTCATTATTCTGTTAGATAAACCATGTCTCAAAATATTCTCTTTTACTTTTTTTTAAATGTTGTTTGTTACACTGTATTGTTTCTTACCAATTCCAAATATGCAAATAAAGCTTTTGATTTTCATTTAAACGGTACAATGTTCAGACAGAAACATTTTACATTTGAACTTTAGTGAATTCAAAGGCCTTGTTTAATTAGAATCTAGCCTTTAAAATTCCTTATTCAGTTTTGCAGATATTTTATTATTCCATACCATGTATAGATGTGAAACAAGGCCTTTGAATTATGAATTCACTTAAGTTCCAATTCTGAAGCCAAAATTGATGCAGAATAGGTGTGTAGTGCTGGGATAACTATAGTGCAACGGCAGCATTTCTAGGTACATTTTGCCTTGAAATTATTGTAGCTATCACTTGGAAGGAACATTTGTCCATTTATAACAAGAATGTAGGCAAAAAGGCATTTCTAGACTATAAATATGTGTTTTAGAAACACAATCTCCCTAATCTGCCAAACAAACTTATCACAAGTATTCAGAGGCAGGCTGTGTAATTTATATACAGAACAAGGTAAGCTAAACTACAAGTTCATTTTGTACTTTTGTCTGATACAAAAGAAATCTAAAGGTCAAAGCAAAAATATTATTCCTATCAATAAGGTATTTATTATATATAAACCATTTGATAAATATGTAAGACACAATTGTTCTTAATAGAAATATCTTAAACCTAATGCAAAACTTAATCAATGCCCACAAGCATAAAATGTAGGTCTATTCCAGAACCATGTTTTACAATTTACAAGCATTGATATCCCAATGTAGTGGTAAAATATTGATTTCCAAACTATATTGACCTACATATGAAAATAAACTAATTCACTCAAGCAACTTAGAGGCAAAACTTAGCATAGGCATTCAAGCATTCCAAGCATTAAATGCAGGTCTTGGTGAACTTAGTTGAACACTTTATGACAATTGTGATTGTAAAATATTGTGGGCTTCACATTTTTCGATGTTTAAAATGTAGGCCTGTATAATTGTTATCTCATTGATATATAGCCCACATCTACTTTCAGTTGAACTGAAATGTTCTTTAGGTATGATTTTCTATATCTATAAGGATATCATTTGTGAAAAAACACTGACATATCATCAAAGGTTTCAATGAAATTAACCTAAATGCAAAACTTATTTTTTATCTGAGAGTGAATGTTTGAGGCTTGCAAAAAGACATGGGAAAATCATTATAGTACAAGAAATAAAATTATAAGAATTTCAAATGCAAATTTATATATTTTTGTTTCCAGCCTCCATAAGCTTGCAAATCTGTATAATGTGGATTCAAATAATATGTCTTTCTAAACGAGGATTGTTATTCTTCTTCTTCAAATGTGACATGCACAAGTCCATGAGGTGAAAACAACAATTATAATTTATTATACTTCATGTCAAAATGCCAGATTTTGATTGGTTAATACGAGGGAGACAATTTACTCTATCCCATGGCAAATACTCTATTACCCTTCACAGAGACGCTTGCTCAAGTGTGTGCTTTAATAAATACGGATGATTGTTGTGTACAAGACGACATAGTTTATTACTTTGAATTTGAAATTTAATAGACAGTAATAACAGAACATTCAGTATAATAAATTGAATAACTCATATCTGAGAGGGTGATAGAGCAGATTGTTACCCCTCGAAAAAAACATTGTCAACCTTGGCTTTGCCTCAGTTGACAATGTTTTCTCAGGGTAACAATCTGCTCTATCACCCTTTCAGCTATGTGTTATTTATATAATGTCTACAGGATTTGAAAACAGATTTAGTATCAACAATTAAGGTGAAACTTTCACAGTACTAAATGTGCATATTAATGTTTAAATGGTTATTAGAAGGGGGACATCTGTTTTCCTGGTTCTTCCCATATCCCTCTAAAGAAAGAATATAAGCATTTTTCTTTCGAGTTAGGCATTGGAAACACTACATTTACATGGGCTAAATTTCTTTAATCATGAATTTCTTCATTTACCGATTCTTAATTATCACTAATTAAAAAGAAATAAATAGTTCTAAGGCTAGCCTATAAGATTTTAGGAAATAGAAGCAGGATTTAACCAGGTGTTTGGATTGTTCTATCAACTCACCACTGGTATCATGTTCATTCACTAAAACTTTGAAAGTTGATGGTGTCAACATAAATTTATACTCAAAAACACCTATTGAAATAGTTTGTATAGTATATACAAATTAAGTTTCATTTTATGTTTGGTTGGTATGCCACCAATTTATCATTGCTAACAATATACATTCTTCATCACAAATAGTAAATATCAAAACTTATAGGTGTCACGGGTATAGGTGTCACGGGTTCTACAGTTCTATCCTTCTATTACCTGTTTAATAAGATGGTTTATAATGACAATTGGTTATCCTACAACAAGTAGTAGAAGTAAACAAAAACCCATATTTATGAATGGTCTACCTAATAAACAAAGCAAACTAAAATGTATTGTACTACACACAGTCAAATAATTCAGCTGTAAGATTTAGCTTGAAATATATGTTCTATGTTTAGTACCATGAGGAAAATGGTGATGAAATTTCAAAATTAATCTTTTCATATTTTCTGTGAGGACTCATGAAAGCCTTGTCATAATGTTGTATCAAGGAATAAATAAAATATCATATAATATTATCAGTTTATTCTAAATATTATGAAATGAAGAAAAAAACAGGTTATAAGTGTGTTCTATAAAATAAATTTATAATGTTGCAATGTGAACTAATTCCTGTGCACCACATTCAAATTAATTTCCACTGGCTGTATATTTTACAGGAACAACCAGATACTCCTTAAAGGTATGAGGTTAAAAAAAATTGAGGATATATAGAACAAGAGTGCACACGCTGAAATGTCTCGCCTTCTTTACTAATCATTGATATTATGTTGATAGTCCTAAATATAAAGCTTTATTACAACTGTCACATAAACTTAACATTAACCAAGTAAACTAAACATTGACCAATGAACCATGAAAATGAGGTCAAGGTCAGATGAACCATGCTAGGCAGGCATGTACAGCTAACAATTCTTCCATACAACAAATAGAGTTGACCTATTGCTTATAGTTTAAGAAAAACAGACCAAAACACAAAAACTTAACACTGAGCAATGAACCTTGAAAATGAGGTCAAGGTCAAATAAAACCTGCGTGACTGCCAAATAGATCATAAAATATTTCCATACACCAAATATAGTTGAACTATTGCATATAGTATAAGAAAAACAGACCAAAACACAAAAACTTAACTATAACCACTGAACCATGAAAATGAGGTCAAGGTCAGATGACACCTGCCAGTTGGACATGTACACCTTACAGTCCTTCCATACACCGAATATACTAGACCTATTGCTTATAGTATCTGAGATATGGACTTGACCACCAAAACTTAACCTTGTTCATTGATCCATGAAATGAGGTCGAGGTCAAGTGAAAACTGTCTGACGGGCATGAGGACCTTGCAAGGTACGCACATACCAAATATAGTTGAACTATTGCACATAGTATTAGAAAAAAAGACCAAAACTCAAAAACTTAACTTTGACCACTGAACCATGAAAATGAGGTCAAGGTCAGATGACACCTGCCCGCTAGACATGTACACCTTACAATCATTCCATACACCAAATATAGTAGACCTATGGCATACAGTATAAGAAAAACAGACCAAAACACAAAAACTTAACTATAACCACTGAACCATGAAAATGAGGTCAAGGTCAGATGACACCTGCCAGTTGGACATGTACACCTTACAGTCCTTCCATACACCGAATATACTAGACCTATTGCTTATAGTATCTGAGATATGGACTTGACCACGAAAACTTAACCTTGTTCACTGATCCATGAAATGAGGTCGAGGTCAAGTGAAAAATGTCTGACGAGCATGAGGACCTTGCAAGGTACGCACATACCAAATATAGTTATCTTATTACTTATAATAAGAGAGAATCTAACATTACAAAAAATCTGAACTTTTTTTTCAAGTAGTCACTGAACCATGAAAATGAGGTCAAGGACATTTGACATGTGACTGACGGAAACTTCGTAACATGAGGCATCCATATACAAAGTATGAAGCATCCAGACCTTCCACCTTCTAAAATATAAAGCTTTTAAGAAGTTAGCTAACGCCGCCGCCGCCGCCGCCGCCGCCGCCGCAGGATCGCTATCCCTATGTCGAGCTTTCTGCGACAAAAGTCGCAGGCTCGACAAAAAATTAACACTTTTGAAATAAAGTTGCTTAGAAAAGTTCAATGGAACTACATCTGAGCATCCATTACTTTTAAAGTAGCTTTAATTTATGTTTTATAGCCCTTTTAACAGTTTTTTATAATTTTGTATTTTCGTAAAAGCAAAGCATAAAATGTCTCAGATCTTACTCTATTTTATTATACAAAACCAGTTTTGGAAGTATTCTTCTTCTTCATAGCTTCATATCTTATTCAAATTAACAACTTACAAAATAACATTTAATTTTTAAGTAAATTTGGTTAACTAATTTAGATATTTTCCTAATCACTATATTAAGATTAATGGACACTGCTTTAAATGATAATTTTGGAGAGAAGTTATCATTTACAAAAAAAAAGAACAAAAAGAAAGAAAGCTAACAAAAAAACAAAAGTTGTCCTTTTATTCATTTTAACAATAAAATAGTATTTCAGGAAATTTGTGTAAACTCAGCAATCTGACTGACATCCAAGAAAATATCATATAACATTTCAGTTTATGGAAACATTCAGTTCCAATATAATCTAAATGAGAAATGATATGAAAATGATTGAATACCTTTTCCTGTCTTTAGATTTTGGTCCTCCTATAGATTTGAAGTGGTCATAAAAACTCATTGTTACGTCAATCATTAGGTCCTGTGTACATTCTGGAAGCTCTGAAGTAAATCTACCTGTGAAAACAATTCAGTTGATGTCAAGTTTATTGTTTTTCACAATCTGACATAATAAGTAAAATGTGTTACTGATAATAAGGTTTAAGTACAGAACAAAGCTCTTAGAATTATTAATTTGTAGTTGAAGGATCAATATAGTTTGTTCTTATGTTGTACTGTTACACCACTGTCCCAGGTTAGGGGAGAGTTGGCGCCTTCAAAACTAGTTTAACCCCGCCATATTCTGTATGTGACTGTCCCAAGTCAGGAGCCTGTATTTCAGTGGTTGTCGTTTGTTGCTGTATGTCATATTTGTTTTTTTTTCATTGTTTTGTACATAAATAAGACCATTAGTTTTCTCGTTTGAATTGTTTTACATATGTCATTTCAGGGCCTTTTATAGCTGACTATGCAGTATGGGTTTTGATCATTGTTGAAGACTGTACAGCGACCTATAGTTGTTAATTTCTATGTCATTAAGTCTCTTGTGGAGAGTTGTCTCATTGGCAATCAAACCACATCTTCTTATTTTTGTAAGCTTGCTAGTGAGTGGTTTCCACAAAATGAACTATTGTGTTAGTGTTTTGAGATTTAAATGTGCACCATGAAAAAATGCATACTTTATAAGTTTTACCATGTGCATGAATGATAATTTACTTTAACATTATGCTTTTTCGAAAGAAATGTACTTTTGATGAAGTTTTTGACTGATTTGGACCCTGATGCATATGTTAACTTTCAATAATGCTTCAGAAGTGTTAAACACAAGATCAAGACATATACATGTAGTTAGGATTTCGATTTATAAGTGTATAATACAAATATATTAATTCTTTGCCTAGTGTTGAGATTAGCTCCCAATGTTTTCAATCAGTCACTCTTGTCCTCAGTAATTTCCTTTTTTTTCATTTGATTACAGCATCAAAGAATACTATAACATATTGAAATAGTAAATGTTGTACAAAGCAGCATAATTCAATAAATACTTTTTGCTATATGCAATTAAATAAATGGATTTGAAATTTCACCTTCAAACAGAGAAAGTTATTGAAAATATTAACAATTACATCACTTCTTATTCAATATTCAATTTTTGTGAAGATATTTTGAGAAAAAAATATCTTTATGTTAAAAATATTTTTGATGTATAATTTTTAAAAAGTAATTTGTTACTGTCTATGGCATCTAGTTTCCTATTTCTTGAGAATCTTGACCTATAAGCAAAATATAACTGGAGCAGACAAAGAATGTATAAATTGCAAACTTTCCTCTCTTAAAATGGAACAACATAAGCAAAGTGTTGATTTGAATTATTTAATATGCAATTATTTGTGTTTACGGTCAACCCTGCCTTTGAAGCCCCCTTAATATTAAGAACTTCCATCTTATACAATCTTATTTATTTCTCCCAAACTCTTCTCATTTTATTTCACTATTATATCATGTAAACTTGGCTACCCAACAATGGAAAGCATAGACATTAAAACAAAAAGATTAAAGAATAGAAAGCATAGGCATTAAAACAAAAAGATTAAAGAATAGAAAGCATAGGCATTAAAACAAAAAGATTAAAGAGGTCGAACCGCTTGTTTCAAGGACATGATCAAAACTTGCCAAGATCTTTGGAGTTAAAAAAAACAGTCTCAGGGAAAAAATGAATTCCTCAGTGATATGAAAATAATGTTCCAGGATAACAAAAACATCACATCACTATAAATATATGAAGCACTTTTTATTCTCACTTTAAATTTTATGACAAAGTTTACTTTTTTTATTTATATCAAAATATATTGAATTGTTTGAAATAATTTATAAAATAGCTTCTATTCCACCTGTCTATTTGAACCTTTTAGCAGTTGCCCTTGTAAATTCATAAAAGACAGGTTTTACTGTATTTATTTCATTACTCTTCTCCATTGCATTATACCTGGAGAACCAGAAAATACTGTGAAAGGAGGAACTACAGTTTCTGGAGGAAGAACTGTGTTGTCAGCTATGGCACAACAATCTTTCAATACACATCTTCTTCCCTAAAATAGAATTAATCTTATTTGACTTTAAACACGATAAAAGTTGTTGTTTAATCTCAGCATGCTTCAGTTTGTTATTTTTTTTAAGTTACAAAATCATTTTTTTTCCTTTCCTCCTGCAGTTTCCTGAAGGTCAGTTTTAACCTTAGTGTTTTGCATATTACTGACCTTCAGTAACTAAGTAACTAACACTGTATGCACACCTTTTACAAAACTGCTACCAAAGCATACTTAATTTTGCTGGGAAATCCATCAAAGAATGCTATACTATGTATTACATAAGACTCACACTGAACTGAAATAATTACTGGTAACGACAAAAATTATACATTGTCAAAAGAAAGTAGTCTCCAAGAACTCCACATGGACATGTTATAATGACTGAGATGGCAATAATGTAAACATGTGCTCTTACTCTAAGCAGAGAAGCCGGAAATACAAATTTTGAAGTCATGTGTAGATCAAACCAATGGCCTTATTGAGGACTTCATCCAAGCAAACACTCTACCACAAGTACAGGAAGACGATTTATGTCTATAATGAATGACTATAGATACTTTTGATCTCATGTTTATATTATTACTATAACTCTCTTGGACCACTTTGCACGGTTGCATTCAATTCATTCACACAAAACTATTTTTTTCTTATTAATGGCACTTTCCTATCCATTATTTGTTTCATTAACTAGTCTGTTAATTTGTACACAGAAATTTTGACATATGGCTTATGGTTAATGATTTACCAAGCTGTATACTTACAATTACACAGTTTTTACCAATATGAACAAAAGAACCAACTTGGGCTGCATTCACAATGGAGTCTTCACCAATAAATACATTATCTCCAATATGAATAGGGAAAAATGCCACACTACAATAAAAAGTTGTAAAACTATATGTGTATTTATAACAGTTCAACCCAAAATCAAAATTCAAATATTTGTTGCCAAATGAAATTAAACCAATATACCAATCCTTTAAGTTATAAAGTGGTATTGTTCCGCAAGATTATATTCTTTTGTTTGTTTGTGTTTTTTTGCTTACAATTGTTTTCAGCTTTTAAAGAATAATGAAAACCACTATGGTTTGACATTATATAATGAATGACTTATGAAGAGGAATAAAATGCTTCGCTGGGCGCAGCTTGATACGACCGCAGAGGTCGAACCCTGAAAAGTTGGGGCAAGTATGGACACAACATTCAAGCTTGATACAGATCTGAATTTGGATTGTGATTAAATATTTGACACAGCATAGGTTTCTGACACAGAAAGAATGTGGTCTAAGAACTTCAATTTTTTTAATTTACCTATTATGGTCCAATGTCCAAAATCAAAATACATGGTTAGATTCAGCATATCAAAGAACCCCATATATTCAATTTTTGTTGAAATCAAACAAAGTTTAATTTTGGACCCCAACTTGAACAAACTTGAAAACTGGTCCCATAATCAAAAATCTAAACACATGTTTAGATTCAGCATATCAAAGTACCCCAAGAATTCATTTTTTGTTAAAATCAAACTAAGTTTAATTTTGGACCCTTTGGACCTTAATGTAGACCAATTTAAGAAACGGGACCCAAAATTAAAAATCTATAAACACGGTTAGATTTGGCATATCAATGAACCCCAATAATTCAATTTTTGATGAAATCAAACAAAGTTTGATTTTGGACCCTTTTGACCTCAATATGAACCAATTTGATAGCGGGCCCACAAATAAAAAATCTAAATACAAGGTAAGATTCAGCATATCAAAGAACCCCATATATTCAATTTTTGTTGAAATCAAACAAAGTTTAATTTTGGACCCCAATTTGGACCAACTTGAAAACTTGTTAAAAAATCTAAAATCTAAATACATGGTTAGATTCAGCATATCAAAGAACCCCATATATTCAATTTTTGTTGAAATCAAACAAAGTTTAATTTTGTTGGACCCCAACTTGGACCAACTTGAAAACTGGGCTCATAATCAAAAATCTAAACACATGTTTAGATTCAGCATATCAAAGAACCCCAAAAATTCAATTTTTGTTAAAATCAAACTAAGTTTAATTTTGGACCCTTTGGACCTTAATGTAGACCAATTTAAAAAAACGGGACCCAAAATTAAAAATCTAAATACACGGTTAGATTTGGCATATCAAAGAACCCCAATAATTAAATTTTTGATGAAATCAAACAAAGTTTAATTTTGGACCCTTTTGACCTCAATATGAACCAATTTGATAGCGGGCCCACAAATAAAAAATCTAAATACATGGTAAGATTCAGCATATCAAAGAACCCCATATATTCAATTTTTGTTGAAACCAAACAAAGTTTAATTTTGGACCCCAGTTTGGACCAACTTGAAAACTGGGCCAAAAATCTAAAATCTAAATACATGTTTAGATTCAGCATATCAATTGCAAAGAACCCCATATATTCAATTTTTGTTGAAATCAAACAAAGTTTAATTTTGGACCCCAACTTGGACCAACTTGAAAACTGGGCCCATAATCAAAAATCTAAACACATGTTTAGATTCAGCATATCAAAGAACCCCAAGAATTCAATTTTTATTAACATCAAACTAAGTTTAATTTTGGACCCTTTGGACCTTAATGTAGACCAATTTAAAAAACGGGACCCAAAATTAAAAATCTAAATACACGGTTAGATTTGGCATATCAAAGAACCCCAATAATTCAATTTTTGATGAAATCAAACAAAGTTTAATTTTGGACCCTTTTGACCTCAATATGAACCAATTTGATAGCGGGGTCCACAAATAAAAAATCTAAATACATGGTTAGATTCAGCATATCAAAGAACCCCATATATTCAATTTTTGTTGAAATCAAACAAAGTTTAATTTTGGACCCCAATTTGGACCAACTTGAAAACTGGGCCAAAAATCAAAAATCTAAATACATGTTTAGATTCAGCATATCAAAGAACCCCATATATTCAATTTTTGTTAAAATCAAACAAATTTTAATTTTGGACCCTTTGGACCTTAGTGTAGACCAATTTGAAAACTGGATCCATAATTAAAAATCTAAATACATCGTTAGATTCGGCATAACAAATAAATATTGTGGTCAAAGATTTTACAAATCTAATGCGCCATACTGTGCAATTAAAGATTACTTCTTGAAATTTTTCAATATTTGAAATTTGAAAAAAAAATAATATTTGAAGAATAATTCTTTTTAATTTCTGAAATCTGAAATGAGAAAAAATTGACCCCCCACAATTTCTTTTTACCCCCCCCCCCCCCCCCGCCCCATTTTTTCCCCCAAACCATAATTACCCATTTAAATTTACCATAGTGCTAACTTAATCTATTTTATAATAGAATTTAAAATATAGTGTCAAATCTTTCATATGGATTTTTTTGTAAAAAAAAAAGATGCAACATTTGCAGATATTTTTACTGGTCTTCCTTTATAAATATGCTTTTCTTTCAACATAATTTAAAAGCAGTGTAAGGGAAGTAACCAAAACGTTGTATTTGGATTACCTCCCTTACACTGTTTTAAATTATCTTAATTGTTCATTAACCATTACTTTATACATAATTTAAAAGCAGTGTAAGGGAGATAATTTCAATGATGTATTTGATTTATCTCCCTTACACTGCTTTAAATTATGTTTTGTACTAAAGTATTTGTCCATTAACCAGGACAACCTTGTTTTTCCCCCTTTTTTGCCCCTAATTCTTAAACGGTTTGAGCCATAACCCCTCAAAGCAAATCCTAACCATCCCTTTGTCGTATGGAAACTTGTAGTATAATTTCAGAGAGATCCATACACCGTTCCACAGTTATTGTCTGGAAACTAGAAAATGCTTATTTTTGGCCCCTTTTTGGCCCCTAATTCCTTAACTGTTGGTACCATAACCCCCAAAATCAATCCCCACCTTCCTTTTGTTGTATTGAACCTTATGGTAAAATTTCATAGAGATCCATTAACTTAAACTAAAGTAAGAGTGCGAAAAGTAATGCGTATTCGGACGATGACGACGACGACGACGCCAACGTCATACCAATATACGACCACAAAAATTTTTTTGCGGTCGTATAAAAAGTGTAACTTAAAGAAATTCTAAATCTTGTGAATGAAAGTCTTTTTCTTTAAAAGTAATTAGAAACAAATATTAGTAATTTTATTCTATATATTTGCCGAAAATAAAATGAAAAAATACATAAATCAGACCCTTGTTTTTCTCTTTTGAATTTTTCGCCTTTTTTCGTGTCTTGTCTTTTATAGCTATGTGGTTCGAGTTTTACTCATTGTTGAAAGCTGCATGGTGACCTAAAGTTTACATCTTTGTCCTTTGGTCTCTGGTAGATAAATTGTAGCTGTCTCATTGCCAATCATACCACATCTCCTTATTTTATATAGAAACAAATTGAATTGTACATTTTCAATATATGAAAGTACTTCAATACCACAATTATCTTGGACAGAATTTATAATTACCTACCCTTTGCTAAACTTTTTAAATGGAGGTCGTATAACAGCTTTCCTACTAACAATACAATGCCGTCCTATTCTGACATTAGCTAAGTCTCCTCTTATAACACAATCTGTCATTATAACTGTCTGAAAAAAAAACAATCTGACATTAGCTAAGTCACCTCTTATAACACAGTCTGTCATTATAACTGTCTGAAAATATAAACAATCTGACATAAGCTAAGTCTCCTCTTATTACATAGTCTGTCATTATGACTGTCTGAAAATATAAACAATCTGACATTAGCTAAGCTTCCTCTTACAAATGATGGTCACTGTATGACCTTCAACAATGAGCAAAACCCATACCGCATAGTAAGCTATAAAAGGCAAATGACAAATGTAAAACAATTCAAACAAGAGAAAACAAACAGCCTGATTTATGCACAAAACAAATAAATGAAAAACAAATATGATAAATAGCAACAAACAACCACTGATTACTGGCTCCTCACTTGGGACAGGCACATAAAGATTGTAGTGGGGTTAAACATGTTTGCTGGCCCCGAACACTCCCCCTAACCTGGGACAGTGGTGTAACAGTACAGCATAAGAACAAACTATAAAAATTCGTAAGGGTTCCGCGGAACCCAGTGTCTCGCCTACTTTTGCTGTTAATCGCAGGCTCAACAAAAATGAGGAAAAAAATAAATAAAAATATTCCTCTCTATACTATCTTTTGATTGTTAGTAGCTTCTGTCCAAGTTTGGTAAAAATCCAGGATAGTTTATGAATCTAATAAATGTTTTAAAAACTTAAACTGCAGACTGTATGTAATGTTAACTGGAAGAAAAACAAAGTCCATTTATAAGTAAAATACGGAAAAAATCAAACAAAATTTTAACAAAATTTCCTTCTAGATACTAGCTTTTAATCATAAACAAGCTTCTGTCCAAGTTTGGTACAAATCCAGGATAGTTTAAGAAAGTTGTTAAAATTTTAAAAACTTTAACCACTGAGTGAATGTAATGTTAACTGGCAGAAAAACTAAGTCCATTTATAAGTAAAATACGGAAAAAATGGATTTTTTTTTTTACAAAATTTACTTCTGGATACTATCTTATGATCATAAACAAGCTTCTTTCCATGTTTGGTAGAAATCCAGGATAGTTTAAGAAAGTTATTAAAATTTCAAAAACTTCAACCACAGAGTGAATGTAATGTTTCTTGGCAGAAAAACTAAGTCCATTTATAAGTAAAATACGGAAAAAATGGATTTTTTTTTTTACAAAATTTACTTCTGGATACTATCTTATGATCATAAACAAGCTTCTTTCCATGTTTGGTAGAAATCCAGGATAGTTTAAGAAAGTTATTAAAATTTCAAAAACTTTAACCACAGAGTGAATGTAATGTTTCTTGGCAGAAAAACTAAGTCCATTTATAAGTAAAATACGGAAAAAATGGAATTTTTTTTTTACAAAATTTACTTTTGAATATTATCTTATGATCATAAACAAGCTTCTGTCAAAGTTTGGTAGAAATCCAGGATAGTTTAAGAAAGTTATTAAAATTTCAAAAACTTTAACCACAGAGTGAATATTTGTGGACACCGTCGACGCCGACGGAATGTAGGATCGCTATGTCTCGCTTTTTCGACAAAAGTCGAAGGCTCGACAAAAATCAGTTGAAAAGGGCTTAACTCATCAGATCGATACAAAGCACAAAACACCATAACAAAAACACAAGAGACATAAAGTACAGATCTAAAAGTACTCCCAATTACTGAAAGTTAGTTCAAAGCCAATAACTACTAACATGACTGATAAAATATCATGTTTCCAAGACTAAAATATCAATCAGTACACATCCAAAATCCAACATAACATAGATTGAAATGAATGCGTTTACATAAATAAGCACAGCAAAGATTTCAAAATTTACAGTTAGCATACCTTTCCATTAATAACTATATTCTGACTTCCACACAAGACTGACTGACGACTGACTTTATTGCCGGATGCCTAGAAGGATAAAAAAATGTAAATTATTGCAGGGACTCGTCATTTTTGGCCATGAAGAGTCCAACAGTGAGAACATAAAATTTTATTGCTATAAGAATTATTATTTCAGTTTCTATGACAAAATAGAGCAAGGAAATGACATGAAACACAGATAAATCTTTTGTTATGTAATGATGATATACATGTATGTGCTCAGTTGATACAACATTTTACAATCTTGATGCATCTTTGGACTCACCAGTTTTGAAAATGAAGAGTTGAGACAGATTTTCATTAGTCCAGGACTCATGGACTCACTTTAGTGAGAACCTTGACTTTCTTTTTGGTTCTGCATGAAATTCTTGAAAATTTGATATGATTTTGGAGGGGGGATAATTATTTCACATTAAAACTAAATAGACGTGAGTACACTTTTTTTTAATCTACATCTGGGAACAGTATATCTAACAGGAAATGAATCTGATAGGCTTTTCTGTATAAAATTGATAAAATCTTGAACTTAACGAGACTTCGCGAGATTTATGGATTTTGGAAGCGTCTGATTGAAAAACTATTGGAACGGCTCATTAAATTAACCACATAATTCCAAACGTTCAACAAATACAATGAATTGATAAGTTTTATCGTGAAGAAGATATATTTTGAGATATAACATGACCAATATAAGTGTGATTTATTTGATGTTAAATGTTTTATAATGGTTTGTGAAATTCGCGGTTACTGGGAATACCATCGGCGCCATTTTTTGGTTACCCTGTTTGAATTCTGTACCATTCTGTGATGAAATGAATGCGATTATGACAAATTTGAAGTGACAGATTACAAGTTCGATACACTGGGATCACTTATTACTTAGTTTGAATGACATTTTATTGATATTTTCAGAAATTATTAAGTTAATAGCGAGTACGTAAAATATGTCTGTTTCCGTATCGTGTCATTTAATAACTATGACCAGACGATAAAATCGGCTATAATTCATGCATGTGATGGACTGTGAAACTCAGATAAGGAGATTGGGAAATTTTGGTCAGGAGATTAGGACTCAGATCAGGAGGTTTTTAAACGACATAAATTTTGTCGTAAATGTAACCGTGTGCTATAGAAATTGTTTTTTAAAGTGGTTTTTTTCTTCAACTTTCCATCCGAATGTATCATGTTTATAGTACCCTTGTACTTATATTTTTTCTATCTTTATTCAACAAGTTCAAAATGTAATATCTTCAAATATTCCGGGAACGTTACGCACAAACCTTCGGGACATTAACTTATTACGTTACGTCGCTACGGCGATACCAATTGTATATTTCTTAGTCATTATTAAAATACCATCTGAATAATCAAGTCTTGCTGAGATCTTTCAATGGCGACGAGGATTAAAAACAAAGAAAGTAGCAGAGTTTAGCAGTGTAAATAAAGAGAAAATTTACCAGACACAGAATTTAAAGAAGACAGTGCTAAAACAGGGAATTAAAAGAAGATACCTCTAAAAATAGAGATTATGGACCGAGGAGAGCCCCAGCAGATAACGTTAGTAACAGAAACCAGAAATTTACGATCACAACCATTTATACAGTCGGACGATCAGATATCTACAGGAAAACATTGGGAAGAATGGCTGGAAAGTATAGAGAGGGAATTTAGATATTTCAGGATAACTGAACCTGCAGATAAAAAGGATGCATTAATCATTTATGGGGGAAAAGATATAGCAAGATTGGAAAGAAGTCTAAGAGATGAAGATGGAGAGGATGAGTATAAAGTATTAAAGAACAAATTAAATAAATATTACTTGCCAAAGAAGAACAAACATCATGCCAGGTATTTATTTTTAAAATGAAGCCATTTAGAGATGAAAACACAGTAACATATGTAATGAGACTGAGAGAAAAGGCACATGAGTGCGAGTTTGAAGCTACATGCGAAGAAAGAATATTGGAACATTGTATTCAAACCATAACCAATCAGGATTTGATAAAGAGGGCAATTAGCAAAGGATGGAATTTAGATAAATTTGTGGAAGAAGCAGGACAGATGGAAGACACATGCTTACAGATGAAGGATATGAAAGGAGATCACAGAGACATCGGTACGAGTTTAGTAAACAAAATACAGAGCAACAGGTCTTACAACAGAGCACAGGAATTTGAATGTGATAGATTTCAACAAAGTTATAGAACTGACAGAAACACAGCAACAAAGGCTGATCAGTGTAGTTATTGTGGATTTGATCATGACCAAGAGAGAAGATGCCCAGCATATGGGAAACAATGTAGAAATTGTGAACGATATAACCATTTCGCATCAGTCTGCAGATCAGAAAAGAGAAAAAAAGAAAGATATGACAGTCAGCAACAGAGCAGATCTGTGAACTATGGAAACAGAAGAAATGTGAAGAAAACAACAGAAGAGGTATATAAAACAGATTCAAATACAGACACATCAGACTATGAAGAAGATGAAGACTATTTTGAACAAACTATCAAGCACATGAAGAAAATACGAAGAGTAAAAAACATACAAGGAACAAGAGACATTGAAAAGACAGTGACAGTAAGGATTGATGATGTAGATGTGAAGGTGGAACCTGATAGTGGAGCAGATGTGAATGTGATGGATGAAAATCAATTTGATAAATTTCAGAAAAGAACATACGGAAATCCAGTTTTAGAAAAGAGTAAAATCAAATTGAGTACATTGCAAAATTCATTACCAATAAAGGGAGAATTTAAGACTATAATAAGAAATAAAACATGTGGCACAGAAACAAAATTTATTGTTGTGAAAGGAAAAATCAATTCTCCACCCTTACTAAGTAAATCTACTCTGATTGAGCTAGGGATGTTACAGATTAGATCTGATGGTTCTTTTGTAAAGACAAACCAGTTGAGAATACCAGACAATGGACCACCTTTCAACTCTGAGAAACTTGCTATTGAAAAGGGATTTAAACACTACCAAGTCACACCAGGACGCCAAATAGCAAATGAAGAAGTTAACGTATTTTGGAAACCCATCAACAAAACAGAGCAAATAACAAAGTTAAAAAAGAAAAACACTAAAACAGCTAAACAGGAGATGCATAGAAGATATCATCCAAACTTATATGAGAAGATAAATGAAAGAGACAGACAATGCAAGGAGAAAATTAAAGAGTGCTGAAAACAGAAGCAAGAAGATGAAGAAAATGGGCCCCCCGCAAGACATGCGTGGGAGGGGGCAGAGGACATACACAAAGGTAATGGGCCCCCCGCAAGACAGGCGCGGGAGGGGGCGGAGGACAAAAGAAATGGGCCCCCCGCAAGACATGCACGGGTGGGGGCGGATAAAGAGACCTTGGAAAACCAGAGATACACATCATGACACAGAAATCAGGAAAACCAACCAGAAGAACCACCTGATAGACCAAAAAGAGACAGACGCGCACCTCAACATTTAAAAGATTATGATATGTGATTGCGGGTGCATTGGACAGCATGTGAACTTTATTAAAACATTCATAAGTGAACATAACACTTTTATTACAAAAACATAAGTGAACATTTCAGAGACTGTGATAATTTAACTCATATATACAAACTTTATTTTACACATTATTAATATACAATTATATAGTTGTTTTCTAATTCAAAGTTAAGGAGGAATGTAATATCTTCGAATATTCCGGGAACGTTACGCACAAACCTTCGGGACATTAACTTATTATGTTACGTCGCTACGGCGATACCAATTGTATATTTCTTAGTCATTATTAAAATACCATCTGAATAATCAAGTCTTGCTGAGATCTTTCAATATATCCAACATTCTTTTATTTAGGTATGTTCTTTAAAATCTTTATTTTATATCTTTTGTATCATTATTCTACAGAATAATCACTGCAATCAGATCATTTGATTAATTATCTGCAAGTAGATCTTTTTTGCATGTTAAGAAACACATTCAAACTGCAAAGAATGGTCATAGTTATTATATAAATTTAAATTTAATCTTGAAAGAAAGTATAGAACCCTCAAATAATTTTCAAATTATTATTTTTTTGTTTGTCCTATAGACCTAAGACACTTAAAATCATTTAATTACCATCCTTTTATGATTATTTGTTCAATTTATATTTTATTTATATTCTTTTGAAAATTTACATTATTTAAAGGAAAGTAACTTAAAACAGGATAAATCAAGGGAAGTAATCTAAAATTCATTAATACAGAGAGTTTTTAATACACAACGGCAGTTAGCCTGAGGTAATAATCGTTGATTACCAGTATGTTTGACACCCAAGCTGAAAAGTGAAGCCATATAATTATGCCTGTTAATTGATTTACAGGTAAAATATAACTTCAGGTAATGTCAGTTACACCAGATTAGGCAGTTGTTGGGCTGAAATTTTTCATTCATGAAATATTTCATACACAGGATTTTTTTCTCTTCAACGGGAGGTCGGAGGAGACCCCTGAAAACAGGATTATTGTATTCCCGTCGGGAGGTTCACATGTATGATAATTAGGCAGTGTCAAGTCATGTCAATATATATGTTCCTGTCTACATGTAGGTGAAATTTGTCTCTGAATGACCAAGATCTGTCTCTGAAGAACCTTGACATCATACAGCAATCACTTTTTAATTATGACGTCAAATTTTGTAAATTGTGATGCATTATTTTACAGGACCTTGTGTGATTTTAGTAATGCTAACAAATTTGCATACAATTGTAAATAGGTCTATTTCCTAGAATCCAGGTCTGTTCGCCCTGATTCACGTTCGTCCTAGTACTGTCAACATATATTTGTTCCGCCTAACAGAAGTTCCCCTTGAAACTTTGTTATAAACAATGTCATAATATCTGTTCCTGTTGGAACAAATATTCCATACCCTTCATTCCGTAAGGAACAAATACTGTAATATTTCTTCAAATGGAAATAATATTACAGAATATTTCTTCCACTTGGAACTTATATTATGAAGGAACTTCTATTTCGTGACATATTATTTTAAATTAA